GACTGCAGGAGAAGAACTCAGGGGGCCTGGATGCTGACACAACTTACGAGATCAAAACATGGTCTTTTGTTTGTTTTGATGTGGGGTTGTACAGTCTGGCCTTGAACTCCTAACCTCAAGCCATCTTCTCACCTCCCAAGGAGCTGAGACTACAGGTGCACTGTGCCCATCTTAAACTGGTGTCATTTTAAGTAACTATATTTATAATTTAAAATGTAGCAATAGCAAATGAATATAGATTTATTATTAATAAGGCACTGATCTGACGGGAAAATAACCAGTGGTTGGAAGTTTATAAAGATTTCTTGTATAAATGTCTCCTTTTATTTTGATCAAGTGTATTCTTTTCCTATAAAAATGAAGTAGAATCATGAAATTCTTAGATTAGTACATTTAATTATTCACTTTAAATTAAATGTGATAGTAAAAAAACTATTTACTGGAACCAGATCAAGTGGTTAGAACTGGTTAACTGGAAAGAAAGTTTGGGTCTTAGAAAGTCTGAGCTCTGTTCCTGGCTCCTTAGCACTCGTGATCTCAGCAAAGTTTACATCATTTGAATCTGAAATACCTTGTCTGAGAAACTACCAGTCATCATTTGTAGATAGTAAAAATAAATGGAATAATATGAAGTACACCTAAAATGTTCCCGACATATTGACCTAAGGTGTAATGCACAACTGAAGATAATGTAATACTAAAGATTCTATTGAAGCTTTATTGGTTTTTTATTAATTTTATTGAGAAACAAATAGCAATGAGACAGTTTCAAAATGGATTAGTATGACAGTTTCAATAATTAATAAATTGCATATTGTTCTCTTTGTAGTGATTATTCATAGTATAAGATGCCTACATGATATCCTATCCAGACACTATTAGTACAAATCTTTCTTCTCATTGAATTAAGAGACGGTAGCTGTATATCTATCCCAACTATTTTGTACATACAGATACAAAAGAAAGCTTTATTGTTACCTAATTGTTAAGCATATAAAAGGCACTATTCAGGTAACTTAGTTCCATAAAAACTATGTGTTTCCTTGGAGGCTAAGTTACTAAATTATGAGGGTAAAATAGGTGACTTAATAGGACAGGAACGCTCAGCACGGAAGGGTCTTTCGACAGAGAATCCAGGCTGTGTTGTGCCACTCACCACTCATGGATATGCGGGGAGTACTTTTTGGGGAGGTGGAGGCTGAAGTGCCACCTGTCCAGTTCCCCAAGCCTTGCAGGGCCGAGCCTTGTGTTGATAGCATCGTTTTGCAGGTAGAAAACTGACTGCCTACTTAGAAATTCCTCTTCCTTTACAAAACTTTATGAGAGCTGGATCTTCTCTGTCTTTTTTGGCATTATATGCATCAGAGGTCCTCAAATTAATGACCTGCCACCTATTTTATAAAGCTTATAGACACGACTATTTTTATGGGCTGGGTATATAGCTCAGCACTACAGTTCCTATCTGGAAAGGGCAAGCAAGATCTTGAGTTTGATTCCTGGTACAAAAAAAAAAAGAAAAAAAATTTTAATGATGTTAATAAAGTGATTGCCAACAGCAGATGCTCATTTATAGTCTCTTTATTAACAGGGCTCATTGAATTCTAATTAATGAGCTGTTATGTACACCCCAAACAAAATCCATTCTGTTATTAGCACTTGTAGTACCAAGACTGTACTCAATATTATATGAAATATTATATACACACTATGTTGAACAACTTGTATATATAATATGGTATGTTGTTATCACAATTTAAATTTCCTTGGTAGTGAAAGTGTGGAACACTGGATATGGTCACATATTCCTATTGTTCTAGCTACTTGAAGGCTGAAGAAGGATTGCTTGAGCCCTGACCCACTTGGGCCACTTGATGCAAATGTCTACAAACAAAATAAAATTTAAAAACCAGTAATCTCAAACCTTAGGAGGCTAAAGCAGGAGGAACTGGTTTGAGCCAGCATGGCAGGCATAGTAAGGTCCTATCTCAAAACAAAACAGACACAAAAACAGATATACAAAACACCAGTTAGGGAAATATGTTTTCTCTCCTTATATAAGGAGAGAAATAATATCTTTGATTTCATCAGATGACACTCTTTGCCCTTTCAGAAAATGTTTACTGAGCTCTAATATTATCATGCCTGACACAGTGCTTAGTCTGTAGGTACTTGATAATTTTTGAATGAATGGTTATTACTAAATAATTTTGGAAAAGAGATAACAGAGCCAAGTTAGCAGTCCCCATCTTTCTGATTCTAAAACTTGAAAAACAGCAAAGCTCTCATAGCAACAAGAAAGGCTGTTTAAAGGTTGTTTAAAAAGGGCCTCTTGGTCCGGGGATATAGCTCAGTGGCACAGTGTCTGCCTGGCAAGCTCAAGGCCCTAAGTTTAATTCCTGGTACCAAAGGGGTAGGGGGTATTATAAAATTATTCACATACTAAATATTATTTTTCTATCTAAATCACCAAAAGTGGGCAGTATATATTGATATTGTAGAGCAGGAGTTGTTAGACTACAGCCACATTGAGCAACCTGCCTGTTTCATTTTTGTTTTTTTGTGATAGAGTCTCTCACTTTGTAGTTCAGGCCAGTGGCCCTCAAACTTTTGTCTATCTTCCTGCCTTAGCTTCTCCAGTGCACAGGTTACAGGTCCAGGCCCGGATCTTGCCCACCTGCCCTTCTGTTCATGTCTGTCTATCTGTCTGTCTGTGTCTCTGTCTCTGTCTCTGTCTCTGTCTCTGTCTCTCTCTGTTTCTGTCTCTCTCTAGTTTGTGTTGGTACACATCAGAAGTCTATTTATTTGTTTACAGATAGGTGCTTTCATGTTACAGTGCCAGGTTCAGTAGTTCTAGCAGAGCAGCAAGTGGCTCTTAATATTCTAAATATTTAATGTTGGCCCTCGCAAGAAAAAGTTTATTGGTGTCTGGTCCAGGGTACTCATATACCATCTTTTGCTTATGGTGAATAATACTGTTACTATTTTTATGTTTTCATTTTTCATGTGTAAAACCTAAGGTGAAATTGCTGAATTGTTTAGGAATAGTAGGAACTTAAAGAGTTCATGTTGGAACACTTTTCAGTATTTTACCTTTTCCCCTGGAAGTCTATGAGTTTTTCAGATTTTCTACTGTCATCACCAATATTCATTATTTTCTCATTGGGGTGAAATATCTCCTCAGATAGTATTTGATATGGTTTCTTAGGGCAAAATTGTATACGGTAATGGTCTTAAAATGTCCTCTCACTTTGTATGTCTCTTTTCTCTTTGTTCAAACTACAGTAATGTATAGGAGAGTAGGTATGGTGGCTCTCTGTGGAATGGGGAATTCATTGTTTCTTCGAGCCTTTGAAGAGCCTCCATTGTATAGTATTTAGCTATATCACTTGTCTTGTGGTTTTTTTTTTTTTTTTTTTTCTGTCCTAATATCAACCTATGATTTGATCATTTGTTGTTTCATTTTTTGGTACCAATTGTAAAAAGATGTTAGTAGTGATACTCGGGTGGGTCAGGAGAAGGGTACCCCTGGTTCAGGTTGGTCGTCTCAGTATCTCTTCTTTCCTGCTCCTTTTTTCACCTGCCTGCCTTGCTAGCCAGTTCCTGTTTCAACATAATCTCTGAACTTGTTTATCTCCCCCTTATTTTTCTCTTCGCTCCGTGACTTACAAAAGGAACATGAAATTTCTGGCATCTTTGTGTATCTAGCTCCCGTTAGCTCTTGGGTTCTTGTTCTGGGGCAAAGATAAAAGAATACAAAGCAGCATTCAGTAGAGAATGGCCAAATGTGTGTTTCTTAGAAAAAATAAAGGAGCCCCCTGCTTGTTTGGGTGGGGGTGAGGGTTCATAAGTGGAAAAACTGTGCTTGTTAAGGATGCTTCTGGGTGCTGGTAGGCCTTTGTTGTCTGGAATGCTTTGTTTGCATTTCTACTTCCTTCAAGGTCCCTCTCATTAGGTTAAGGACCTGTTTTTTTGTCCTGCCTTGTGAGGTCCTGATAGTTTCTTTAACTTAATTATTCAGGCCCTGTGGTATACTTACTCACTTAAGCCCTGAGCTTAAGTTTACTTTAGGGTGACTGTAGGGACCTATGCCCTACCTGCCTAACTTGCCCTTGCCCTATCACTTCTGTTCATTTGTCTTTGATCATTCTTACTTGACAGCTTCTAAGATCGGTAAACTACTGTTTTATACTTTTTTTAAAAAACAGGGTCTCTGTAGTTCAGATTGCCTTGAATTCACTGTGTAGCCTAGGCTGGCTTTGCATTTATGGGGATCCTCCTGCCTCAGCTTTCCTTGTGCTTGGATTGTAGGTGTGAGCTACCACGCCCTACCCTTACACTCACTTTTGAGTATAGCATTTATTTACTGTTTTATTTCTTCACTTTATTACAGTGTCTCTGATTTAGCTGAAATGCTTAGGTAGGGAGAGAATTCTGAGAGATTTATATTAAAGCATGTTAACTAAGCTATCAAGTGCTCAGCAATGAAATTTTACTGTACTCATAAAGAGCAGGACTTTAGTATGTTGTATGGATTGCAGATGATGTAGATCAGTGGCACAGTGCTGGCCTAGATTTGATCTTCAGCACTGTTCTCCCCCTCCCCCATACAAGTTGGCATACTTTTGAAAGTACTTCTGTTTCAAGCACAAGCATAAAGATGAACAAACTAGTCATTGTCCACAAGGAATGTTAGCCATTTGGAGAGATAGGGTCAAGTAATTACTATTACCGTATGGAAAAATGTGTTCACAAAGCTTATATAAGTTGTGAGCAGAAGACAGTATTATAGAGTTTGTCTTACCTTAAAGTGTTATCAGACAATAGTAAGCATTTCTGATGGGTGTAAGTAGTGTAGCTTTCAGGGTGGAGTTAGATTGGATTTAGGGTAAACTGTTCCTTTTATATGTGTATACTAACAAGACTACCCAGCATAATATAAAGGATTGCCATTGTCCACCAAAACTGCTTTCATACATTAAGATATTAATTTTCTCTAACAGATATGCCAAGAGTTTAATAGCACCTGGGCCTGGGAGATGGAGAAGAAGGGCTATCTTGAAATGAGTGTTGAGTGCAAACTAGCCCTCCTAAAGGTAATGAATGTGTCGTCTCTTGCAATTATTTTACTTTAAAATTTTACTTTTGATTCCTGATCACATTAGAAAATAAATGTAAAGTAGATATTTTTATTATGAGACGAGGATAGTGTTTTTTCTTTTATTTTTCCATCACAGAAACAGTCTGTACTTTCTAAAAATTATCTTTAAAGCTTAAATTTTATTTAAAGGGGTAGTAAGAGAATGGACAAGTAATTGCATTCAATTATGATTTTTTTTTTTTTTTTTTCAGTTCTCACTGTTACTGTTAGGAACTATGGCAACCTTGTACTGACTTTCTGAATTATTAGTAATTTGATATTATTTTCCAGATGACTAAGTGTACACAATTGCATACTTGCATAATGAAAAGTACTTCATTAAAATAGGTCATCTCAATGTAGGTTTATTTTCAGGTTTGAGGTTCTCTTTTTCCCTGTTTACTTTCCAATTAGTAGTGATATAGTCAGCATAATACAGAGAAAGAAAACAACTTGGTGAAAAAATTAATGAGGTCTTCAGTACTTTTAAAATTTACAAATGTTAGCCAGGTGTGGTGGTGCGTGCCTCAGCCTTGGGAGGCTGAGGTGGAAGGGTCACTGAGACTTCAAGGCCATCTTGGGATATGTGAAGTATTGAGTTCAGTCAGCCTGAACTCCACTGTGAGAGTCTGTCCCATACAAAAACAAATAAAAAATAAAACTTACCATTCTTCCTAAGTAGGCTTGTTCAAAGACCCCTAAAAATCTTACAAATGTTACTACATTCAATCTCCTCTCCTAAATTAAGAGGAAGCTGGATTTGGGGAATGACCAAGTTAGCCCTGCCCAGACTCCATTGCTGAAAACCAGACATTAACTAAAAAGGTCTTTATACTAGCAACCAAGACCTTTCACTATGATCAATCCACAAATTCCAGAGAAAAACAAACAAATATGAAGAGAGGAGGCAATAAAATGCCAACAAACATTGTGCACTTCCCAAAGTTCATCCATGGCACATGGAAAGGGAAGACATAAAAAGTCACATGGCTGAACTTTTCAAATGATTCAAGAGGAGATTAATAAAGATAAACTACCTGGTGAGCTTAGAGAAGATTTAACTAGATACATTAATGAATTTAATAAGGAAATCGATCAGGAAGTTTATAGAAGCCACCGATAAAATGCTAAATGAGCTAGAGGATACAAAATATGAATGACCATTTTAGCAAAAAATTCGAAACCATGAAAAAGTACCAAACAAATTCAGGAGATAAACATGATTTTGAAAGTGTGGGTGGCAGAAGTGAAGAAGGCAAGGACAGGATGTCAGGACTAGAAGCTAAGACTAATGTTGGTGACGTGTTGTTGAAAGATACCTTAAAAACAATAGTAGAACATGAAAAACGGGTGCAGCAGATGCTAGATGATACAAAGAAATTTTTTTTGTTGTTTTGTTTTGTTTTTTTGCGGAACCGGGGATTGAACTGAGGCCCTTGTGCTTGCCAGGCAAGCGCTTAAGATAATAGCAGAAAACTTTACCACATATGGAGAAAGAATTTAACATTCAGGTAAGTGATGCATATAGAATCCCAAATAGACACAATCAGAAAAGAACCTCTCAGCACATCATAGTTAAAATCCAAAAAGTCTACCCCAAGGATAGAATCTTAGTAAGTATCAAGGAAAAGTAGTGAATCACTTACGCAGTATGTCCCTAGCTTATGAAGAGCTCTTTTCTGAGAGGACCTTTCTAAGTTGTTCATTAGTCTGACAAAATGAGTCTTACACAACTGTGACACAAATATAGAATGTAAAGTAAAAAAAAAAAACCCTAAAAATAATGTAAATAAACTTTACTTTCACAGTTACCTTAAAGTGTACAGTAAGTACACAACAGTACAGCTGTGGTAATGTCTGGCAGATGAATGAGCTGCTTCCATGATTTGTGTCTGAAAGTTCATGACTCGAATGTTTGATGTTGGTGAAGTCAGGGACTTACTGTAAAGGCCAACCCATTAGAGTTATAGGACACTTTTCACCATAAATTTAGCAGGACAAAAGAGCTTGGAATCAAGTGATTCAAGTCCTAAAATGAAACATCTAATCATCCAGTCTTATGTCCTATAAGACTGTGTGAAGATTGGTGGAAAAATGAGGTTTTTCCATGACGAAGAACGTCTTAAGAGATTCTTGACAAGCAGTCCAGCAGTCTAAAATGCATTCTCAGGCATGTCCTAGAAAGAGAGAATGAAGCCAACAGGGTCAGAAGATGAAGAGAAGGAACACACACCAGACAGGGTGAGCACTTAACCAAGAAAGAAAAAGCAAGGTGGGGTAGGGGGGATATCAGCAATAGGAAAATAATACAATAAAATAATAAGCCAATAATAACTCTAAATGGTCTCAATTCCCAAAACAAAAGACGCCGATAGGCAGAATGGATCAAGAAACAGAACCAAGTGGTATGCTATCATCAAAGAACCACATTCAACCCATGAAATAAACTCATAGACTAAAAATCAGAGCATGGAAAAAATACTACATGCAACAGGAACCCCAAAACAAGCAGGAGTCCTGTTTTCAGGTCATGTGGACTTCAGCCCACAACTGATCAGAGGAAACACCGAAGTTTACTACCTATTGGTTAAGATAGCTATTCAACTCAATATAACAAGTATAAATATGTGTGCAGTGAATACCAGCACACCCAGCTGGACATAAAAGATAAGACAAACATCAGCACAAGTATAGTGGGGGACTTCAGTACTCTGTCACAAATCAACAGAATACTGGAGTTGAACCAAACGTTTGATCAGGTGGACTTAATAGTATCTTCAGAGTGTTACACTCAGTAACAAAATAAACATTCTTAGTAGCACATGTAGCTTTTTCCAAAATAGCCTATAGACTACCTCCTAAAGCATGGTAAATAAATGCAAAAGACTTAAAATTCTACTCATCAGATGATAGCTCAGTGAAACTAGAAATCAGTGGCAAAATTGATAACACAGTATACAGATGCAAGGAAATTAAATAATAAATTAAATAACAAGGAAATTAAATTAAATAATAACTTCACTAATCAATTGCTCAGAAAAAATTAAGAAAGAAATCAGACAGGTACTAAAAGCAGACAATATCAGTACAACATACTGATACCATCAGAAAACAACAAACGAAGTTCTAAGAGGGAAGTTTCTAGTTATGAATGCCCACATCAGAAAAATAAAGTGAGCCTGAATAAAAAATCTAAAGATGCACCTGAGGGTCTTGAAAGTCACAGTTACCTTCAAATGTACAGTGTTCTGAAATACAGAACAATTCAAATTCAGATCAGCAGTTAAATTGAGATTAAAAATAAAGGACGTCAGTGAATGGAATAGCTGTCTTTTTGAAAGAAAAAACAAAATAGACAAACCCTCAAGAGAAGGAAAAGACTCAAATTAATGTAAACAGACACAAAAAAGGCAAAGTTGCATTGTACATTGCCATAATCCAGATTATTAGCAGTTAGCTGTTCTTCAATTAATTTGAAGATCCAGAAGTGGATAGATTCCTAAGTAGATGTAAATTATAAAAACAGAGGCAAAAGATAAAACTCCTAGTAGCCTAGTAACAGATAATGAAATTAAAACTGTAATAAAGAATCTACCTGGGGGTGGGGAGATGGCTCAGTAGAATAAGCGCTTCCCTGGCAAGTGCAAGGTCCTGAGTTCAATCTCTGGTTCCACAACAACAACAACAAAAAAAAGAATCTACCCACTAAGAAAATTCTAGGACTCAGTGGACTCACTATTACATTCTATAAGAACTTAAGATGTAACACCAATACTCTTCCAACACTTCAGTGAAATTGCAGGGGAGGGCCAGCCAAATAGCTTAGCAGATTAAAGCGCCTGTGCCCTGCTGGCCCCACTCCCGGGGCTCACTGAGACCACCAATTGAGACTGGGTGTGGTGGCGCATGCCTGTAATCCCAGCTCTTGGGAGGCTGTAAACAGGCAGATCACTATGAGTCTGATCTACTAGTGAGACCCTGAATACCCTGTAGACCTTTTCCTAAAGTACAAAAAAAAAAAAAAAAGAAAAAGAAAGAAATTGCAAGGGAAAGAGTACTCCCATGGTCATTCCTGGAAAATAGGATTGTTGTAATTCATATCTACAAGGAGCCAGTCATTTTTTTAAAAAAAGGTGTACAGGCCTCATTATTTAAAGCATATGGAAGCACATATCCTCAACAAGAGAGAGGCAAACTGCATAAATCAGAGATTGTACATCATGACTAAGTAGACTTCGTCGCAGGGACACAAAGATGGTTAAATATGTGCAGATCAGTACATGTACTGTAGCACATAAATACAGTAATGCCTTCATTCATGAATCCTGTTTACAAATAATTCTGTTCTGAAGTACAACATTTGACAAAATTTTGCTTTCAATCACAAAATCCATGTTGGGTGACAAAACTGCAACCGTCTTCCCTCAAATCATAAAACAAATTAAGTTTGTCAAACAAGATAACACTCTAAAAGCAAGGATAGGGGGAGATGGCTCAGTGGAATAAGTGCTTCCCTGGCAAGCGCAAGGGCCTGAGTTCAATCCCCGGTTCTCAAAAAAAAAAAAAAAAAATTTAAAAAAGGGGCCAGGGAGATGGCTCAGTAGAATAAGTGCTTGCCTGGCAAGCACAAAGGTCTGAGTTCAAATCCCTGGTTCCGAAAAAAAAAAAAAAAAGCAAGGACAAAATTGGCAAACATTGCAATAGATGCAGATGAAACTTTTGATAAAATCCAACAGCTATTCATTCATGATAAAAACCCTGAAAAAAGTAGGTGTAGAATGATCTGATCTCAACGTGATAAATCACGGCAGTCTACTGCTATCATCGTATTTTTTAAATACTATTTTAAAAAGTCTTTCATTTATTTATGTGTTTGGTACAGGGTCTTTCTATACAGCTTGGACTTGTAGTGATCCTCCTGTCTCAGCCTCCTCAGTGCCTGGCTTCATGCACTCA